GTGGGATACTTATCTTCCGTTGATAGAGTTCACCTATAATAACAATTACCATTCTAGTATTGGGATGACACCTTTTGAGGCAGTGTATGGTCGAAGATGTAGAACTCCGTTATGTTGGCATGAATCTGGTGAAAGTGTAGCACTTGGACCCGAACTTGTTCGTGAAACTACTGAGAAGGTGAAGTTGATTCGAGAAAAGATGAAAGCTTCCCAAGGTAGAAAGAAGAGTTATCATGACAAGCAAAGGAAAGATTTAGAATTTCAAGCTGGTGATCATGTGTTTTTGAGAGTTACACTTGTGACTGGTGTTGTGCGAGCGTTGAAGTCTAAGAAGCTCACTTCTCGTTTTATTGGACCATATCAGATTTCGGAGAGAGTGGGGAATGTTGCTTATAGAGTGGCTTTACCACCTAATCTTTCGAATTTGCATGATGTGTTTCATGTGTCGCAACTCCGGAAGTATATTTCAGATCCATCTCATGTGATTCATATGGACGATGTGCAAGTACGGGATAATCTTACGGTGGAGATGATGCCTGTACGGATCATGGATCGTGAAACTAAGACTCTGAGGGGCAAGGAGATTTCTTTGGTTAAAGTGGTTTGGCTAGGAGATGCCGGAGAAAGCATGACTTGGGAGTTGGAGGGCAAGATGCGAGACTCCTACCCTGAGTTGTTTGATTGAGGTAAATTTTCGAGGACGGAAATATTCTAAGTGGGGGAGAATTGTAACGCCCGTAATTTAATTAATCATTTAATTAAATTATTTTTGGAATATTTGTGAAGTTGTGTTGTGACTAATTGGATTTAATTATTTTATTAAGTGGAGAAATAATATTAGAAGTATGATATTATTTTGATGTGAGCTTGTTTTAAAGGAATAGAAGTAATAAGGGGGTGTGTTAGTTTTAAGCCCAATAAGGAATAAAGAATAATAGAGTTATTTTATTGTGGTTAAAAGAATAGAAAGAGGAGGCAGTAGAAGAATAAGGATTGAGAAGAAGAACGTGAAGCTGCTGGAAAAAGAGGAAAGAACAGCATAATGAGAATTCGACCGGAAGTTATAGAGCAACCTTCAATCCAAGGTAAAGGTGGGGTTTTGACTCTATAATTGGGTTCATGATGATTGATATGTGGGGTTAGAGGTGATTGTTGTCTTGTTCATGAATTGAATGTATATGATGTTGTATGATGAAAAATTGATGAATTTTAGATGAATAATGATGTCCCGTTGTTGTTTAATTGATGTAGAATTATAGGATAATTGTAAGTGATGATTATCTATGATTAGATTAAGTTTTTAGGGCTTAAAGTATGAATCCCGTAGTGAAAACACAGAGAAATCACAGAAATTATGCAGTATATAACAGGATGTGTCGACCCCAAATGCTATGTGTCGATACAAGAAGGTGTAGAGACTCAGGATGAGTAGACACGAAGAGGTTTTACGTCGATACATGAGGACTTTTAGACATAGGATGAGTCGATCCATAATAGCATGTGTCGATACATGTTGTGTGTTTAACTCAGGATGAGTCGATACATGAGGGAATGCGTCGAATCATGTTGCGAGTTCAGTGCAGTACGCGTCGATCCAAGACGTTTTTCGTCGATCCATATTGTCTGGTTTTTGGCAGATTCAGTTTATAAATGTTGTAACTTGAGTTTTAGGATGTCGTTTGAGATGTCGTTCGAAGCGTTGAATAGCTAACGCGATGAGCTTTATTCTAGAGGATTAAAATGAAGAATATGAAGTGTAATCTTAGTAGCCAATTTAGGATTTAGAGTTAGTTCCCATGTTGATCGTTATGTTGGTTTTTATGCAGAATGATGAGGATGAAATGTTTATAGGCTGCTGTTTGAACTGTAACAGTAGGAGTAATGATAGTAATGATGTAAAATTACAGAATAGCAGTATGAATTACTGTCGTATTAACGTACAGCTGAGTTGTTGATGAGATGTTATTAATAATGTTGTGTTGAAAATTTATGATGAATAAATGATGTTTGATGAATTATTATGATGATATGAGATGTTGATGAAGAGATGTTGAGATGCTTTAAGATGCAGGCCTTTGGCCAATGATGGTGTTGTATTGAGATGTTGTCAATTATGGTGTTGTTATTACATTCATGATTGTGTCGTATACACTGCATTTTAAGATGGAGCTTATGCTCGTTGAGATGGCCTGTATTGGCGAATATTGAGATGAAGGCTTATGCCTTGTTGATGCCTCTATTAATTGGCAAATTTTTTAGATGGGAGTTCTGCTCCAAATGGTACCACATGCATTTTCATAGTATTGAGTCGCATTATATGACTGCATAAAGAAGTGTGTATTGATGTGGTGAATGTATTATGATTATTGTTGATTTTGAGATGAGAAGTGGTGATGTTATGTGATCTAATTTAATATATTAATCATCATGCGCTTTATTATATTGTTAGATATCTCACCCCTTCTGTTTGAATATTGCCCTTATGTTGGTAACGTGCAGGTAATCGAGAGTGAAGATTGTATACCTTCAATAGTTCGAGTCGGTGTCATTGCTCTGATATGTAACACTCAGGGGGTGAACGTTGGTTGCTTTTGATTGTTGATTAATTTCGTCGTTGAACTTTAAGTTGATTATTATTTAGTATTTGTTGGTTTGAAGTTGTTGTAATAGTGATGAAGATGTTATTTAGAATTCCGTTGCGTAGATGTTGAATTATTTAACTAAAGATGTCATGATGATGGTTCATCCGATGTTTTAAAAGTGTTATATATCCACGATGAATGCAATGAATTTTGATAGAAGAATTTGTGGCATCCCGATCCGTTTGCATGAATGATTTTTATAACTCTGATTTATTTATATAATTTGCCGGGGTAGAATTTGGGTGTTACATTCCTTGTCACCATTCCTCTCATATCTCAAAAGATTAGCCTGAATCTTCTTCCCCTTTATAAGCACATTGTCAAGCTTGACTGCTAACAACCTAACATCTTCCACCTCAACGAATCTCGAGAAATCGATTTTTTTTCCTGATGTTGTTACGCCTGGGAGCAATTGCCACTTCCACTACCTCCTCTATACAACCGAATAGCTCGAAAAAAGTCCTTGGCCTTGCATCTTTCATGAAATTCTGAAAAATATAGCGAGGTCACAATAACATCTCTATCCACTAGATTTCTTCCTGTCAAAAAAACGTCATAGTGAAAAATCCAATTTCAAAATACCCTTTTTTTCTCTCCGACCAGCCCACTTCACGATGTGGAGGACCACCGTTCATAGAGGCTTCAACGGAAACCTAACCCCTTCTAGAGGGAAGACGGAGCGCAAAGTTAGAAATTAAAATACTAACTACATGAAAAAAAAAATAATAACGTTGAAGTTTTTTTTATATACTTAATAATGCCATAATATGATATATATTATACTCCAATTAAAAAATTATCCTTATAAAAATAAATACAAATATTTTTCAAAAACAATTTTAAATAATTTTTTAATTTAATAAATAATATTTTTAATAAAAAAACTAATAAAACAAATAGATAAATTTTGTTAAAATTCATTAATATAATTAAATAATTATTTTTAATTTAAAAATTTAGTAAATAAATAATTTATTGTGTAGGTCAAATATGTCATATAAAGGTGCGATATATATTATATATAAATGAAAAACTATCGTGATAATAAATTAATTTATATTAATATTTCTTTTTTTTTAATATTTTGATTCCTATAGACTAATTACGATTTTTAAATTTAATATGTTTTTTTATGTTTATTTATATTTATATTATATTATATTTCATATTTTTATATTTTAAATCATATTATTAAAAAAATATACCAAATTTTTTTATTATATTATATTAGTTTATAATCCAACTTAAATTCAAAATATGACTTTCAACTAAATACAATATCATAATTTTTACCATTAAATTATTATATTTTATTATCTCATCAAATACTAAATTATATTATATTGACTTTTATCCTATCTTAAATAATAATTTCTTTTTGCAAGATAACAAAATAAAAAACAAAATAAACTCATATATACAAAGAATCTCTACATTATTGTCTTTTCACATATATATACATAGAATCCAATGCTTTATGTGAAATAAATATACTTTTTTTTACCAAAATATTAATATAGAAATTGTTAGTTTTTGACCATTTACAAAAATTAACATTTTTAAGCCTCTAATTTGTCAACAAAAACTATATTATTATTTTTATTCATGAAGTCATTTGATTAATATAATCTAATTAACCTCAAGTAGTTCACAAATTTTGAACAAAATTAACCACAAATTTATTACTACATAGTAAATACATAAGACTAGTGTATAGTAAATCTGTAAGAACAGCTAAGAATACGTTGGCAAACATCATTATCATGATGATCACATTTTTGGTGTATGTATGTATCTCTTTTCTTCTCCACAATCTTTCATTACCTTTGATTCTCTTGCATGCCTAACACGCGTCTCCACCTGTTCCTCTTCCTCTTTTTCTTCGGTCTCTTCCATTGAATTTTCAGTTTCACTTCCTCAACCAAACAAAGAACAAAATCTATCTTTTACCACCTTAACTTTAACTATCTACTTTTTGTCACAACACTTTTAACTGTTTGTTTACACTCATGTTTCCTTGTTTTGTTCAAATATTATATTACACTGTCTTCAACTTTTCTTATTATTTTATTTTTTTCTGACAAGGAGATATTAAGAGAGAGAAAAATAAATAAATAAATAATTAATTCTTGTCCTTCTTTTTATGTAAAAGATTAAAAAAAATCATATACCCTTTTTGTTATTGTTGTTGTTGTGTTTTCTTTTATTTACAGAGACCTCCTTTATTGATGATGGTCTTGGTCAGTTTCTCCTTTTTCTGTTCTGGAAACAACTGCACCAACTAGACCTTCTTTTTCAACTTTGTTTTTTTTTTTTCTTCCAATCCTTAAGGAAAAAGGTGAAGCTGAAAAGTCAGTTATGTCAGGTTTGTATAATCAGAATTTCTCTCATGCTAGAGCTGCTTCTCCTCAGATTAGAACCAGCTCAGAAGTTGACAGGTACTGTCAAGTTTTTTTTTTCTTTTTCACTTTGAGATCAATTTTGATGATTAGATTCAAAAGGGTTTGTGTTTTTTTGGATTTCTGATTTGGTTTTGATAAATTTATGTGCTTTTGATTCAGAATTGAAAAGGGTTGTTGTTGTTTTCTTTTGTTGTGATTTTTTGCAGTCAGTATCTATCAGAGTTGCTGGCAGAACATCAGAAACTTGGACCTTTTCTGCAAGTGCTTCCTATATGTAGCCGTCTTTTGAATCAAGGTCTGTTCATGTTTTTTTCATGTTTATATGGATCTATGTTTTTTTTAAATAATTTTTGTCTCTTTCAAATGGTTGTCTGTGATAGCATGTTTCATGACTGTGCTTAGATCATGTGAATGGTTCAGATAGTGTTGATCATGGTTTGATTGCTCTATCTACCATTCATAATTGTTGTGGCACTATTTCTGAGTGGAATGGTTATAAAATTAATTGAAAAATTTATCTCCTTTTTGATGTTATCTTAAGTTAACATTGGATGAAATGTACCTTCATAGTCTTACCTTTGTGCAAGAAGGGTGGTAATTTTATCAGTGAGTGTTCCGGCCTCAAGTCCAGTGAACATTTTTTCCGAGGAATTGTCTGCCGGCCTCAAGTCCGGTGCACCTTTTTCCGAGGAATTGTCTGCTTTGGGTATCGTGTAAGTCCTTGCCGCAGGATGTGAGGTTTTCTGAATTAAGTCTTGTTTAAACCAAACCTTCTCCGACTTGAAGATAAACTTGAATTTTATATATTTCCAGCACTCACAATTTTGGTCCAATTAAACCGGCATCCACTGACTGCAGTGACTCTAAATCTAATCTCTTGACATGATCTGTCATTCAATCTCTCTTTGTTGCTCTATTTTTTTATAAGTTTCCTCGCCATTCATTTCCTATGATTTTTCAATTGTATGCATCGGTTTCTGATTACAATATTACATCTGCTGCAGAAATATTGAGAGTTTCTGGAATGTTGTCCAACCAAGGTTTTGGTGACTTAGATAGACTGCAGCATAGAAGTCCTAGTCCTATGACTTCTTCAAACCTCATGTCTAATGTCTCTGCGACGGGAATCGGTGCATGGAATAGTCTTCAGCAGGAGGTGACTGCTTTTAAATTATTAATTAATTTTTGCATCATAACTTTGATATGCTCAAGCTTTTGTTATATTTGTATGTTTAGATGCACCTTTTTGTTTTTAAAATTTCGTCATCTCTCTCGATGGTGGATTGTGACGTGAGGATTCAACTTGTGACGTATAGTACTTATTGCATGTGTTCAGCTTCAACAACAACCAAGCCTTATTCCCACCGAGTAGCTTGTAAGAAATGAATTCTTGCGTGTAGTATAACTTACGGAGGGTACGACAATGGGAGGGATGAACTGAGACTGAGATAGGTTTCGAAAGAGACAAGCAAAAAATCATTAATAAAGAGAGAACCTGAGGTAGAAAAAGCTGGCCAAATTTTGTGCATAACCAATGGGAAGAAAAACCGACATGGAGATAAGGACAGTGTTATAGCTCACACTAGCATTCCTGTTTTTAGGTAACTTGGTAGAAAAATGGCGACAAGACAAGTCACGATAATATCACATCACTCTGATACCATGTTGAAGTTTCATAATTGCTCTTTTCGGTTTTGGTAAGATATATAAAGAAATATGGAAACTAATACTTGAGATCATAGGATCATAATTTGCAATAGTTTGAATTGATGGACAATCTTGAAATTCAACGAACAAAAAGAGGTAAAAAATCATTATTAAAGCCAAATATTCGCTCGACACAAGCCTGAGTATTCGATATAAAACCGTCTCAAACTTTTGAGAGGCCTTGTGTTAGAAGCTGAAGTTAGCTTCAGTTTAGTCGTGAATTCTTTAAGGGGCCCTATTTAACCGTAAATTAACTGTGGAATATGCCTATAGAGGCCTTTTTTGCCATAGCTTAATCATGAAAAAGTGTGAGGCCCTGTGTTAAAGGCCGCCTTGCACACCCTCAAAGACGACCCTGGATACAACACACGGCCTCAAACTTTTCATGGTAAAGTTGTGACTAAATAGGACCTCATAATAGATTTGTCATGGTTAAACCATAACTATATAGGAACCCTGATTGTTTTGTCAGAGTTGAATCGTAGCTAACCAACATAAGGCCTCCAAAAAGTAAAAACAGCTCCTTAAGTCTTCCAATCCTTTTAAGAAGCAACAAAATAGGAAATCCTCCAAACTCTTGGTAGTAGTGTGTAACACAAACTTTAGGAGATATACAGCTTTGTTGGGCTTGCATTCCTGCTGAAAACCATTAGTATTAATCCTATTATGTGCAGAAGTTCTAACAAAGGGTGTCTAGAGATGTCTATCTATGTTAAATATCAATAGTTATACGTGTGTTTTGTTAATAAAAAATATACGGTAACACACCAGACATGGCACAAACTTAATTGACTAAAAGCTAGGATGAAAGTTTATGATATGAAGTATATAAAAATGAAAGGATACGTGATACAAAAATACATAGAACTGGCTAATGCATTGAGTCTTGCATTACTGGAATAATTTTGCACTGCTAACAACTTCAAGAAGTCAATATGTTCTCCAGATTGAGAACGGTGGTTGCGTGTTGATTTTTATTTTAATTTTAATAGAAGGCCTCGTTATTTTTTCTTGTCATTTACGATAGTTACTTTCAACATATATTCATTAACATTACTTCATTTGAAAAAAAGCAGAGAATAATTGGACCCGCTGGAATGAATATGGACTGGCAAAGTGCACCCGCAAGTCCTAGTTCATTCACCGTGAAGAGAATATTGCGCTTGGAAATTCCAGTAGATACATTCCCCAACGTAAGCTTTTATACAGATCCCGGTTATAGAAAATCAAATTTTACTTGTTTTTGGAACTGAAAGCTCTATTATCAACTATAAGTAATAGAAATATGTTGCTTCTTATTGCATTAGTTTAATTTTGTTGGAAGACTTCTGGGACCAAGAGGCAATTCTTTGAAACGCGTAGAAGCTACTACTGGTTGCCGCGTGTATATTAGAGGAAAAGGATCGATAAAAGATCCGGACAAGGTATGAACACAAACATAACTTTCCATGTTTCGCGATTGATTTGCATACTCAATTATACTTGTTATATATCAACTGAGAGTATTATAAATTTATCAATCTTAAGGAAGAAAAGTTACGAGGAAGACCAGGCTATGAGCATCTCAATGAACCTCTACACATATTGATTGAGGCTGATTTGCCTGCTAATGTTGTTGACTTAAGGCTCAGACAGGCTCAAGAAATCATAGAAGAATTACTCAAACCTGTGGTATGTAACGTCAAACTTTATATCTTTCTCTGCTATGCACGGTAAACTTTGTCTTGAATGTGAATGTTTGATACACAGGATGAGTCAGAAGACTTTATTAAGAGGCAGCAGTTGCGGGAATTAGCTCTTCTGAATTCAAATTTCAGAGAAGAGAGTCCAGGGCCAAGTGGCAGTGTGTCCCCATTCAATTCAAGTGGAATGAAACGTGCAAAACCGGGTCGCTAATGTATGTCGTTGACAGTGTATATGAATGTTGTGGTCCTCCAGCTATATTCATTGCTGATAATATCTTCCAGCACATGTCTCATTCAATGCAGCTATGAAAAGAAAGAATAGGCTAACAATTCTTGCTGGTTAGCATTCTGGTGGTTTTTTTCCTTGAACAGAAAGGGACAAAGCTGGGATGAAGAATTTCTTAAAGAGAAAATTTTATATAGTTGGGTATTGAAAATAGGTTTTGTTCAAATCAACTTTCTTTTCTTTCTTTCTTCCTTTTAAACTCAATACATTCATTGGATTTATTCTTGAGTCAGGTACTTTTGAGAAGTGTGGAATATATATACATGTGATGGTGATGATGGTGAAGTTTTAGGCCTTAAGATGGTGAACTGTTGTTGGCATGTGGCATGTGTCATGTGTCAAAGTGTCAAGGTATTTTAATATTTATGTAATTTATAGCATAGGCTGGATTCTTTTTAGTTGTTTGTCACAAGAACTTGTATTCTCTTTCAAAGAGATATGCACTCTAGTTGGAGTGATGCATATCAGATGAACATCTTACCATGTACCAAAGGAAACAAAGTTGTATTTTGTTTGTATACAATGGTACTATAAATGTTCTGCAAATTATTTTTGATTGTGTCCATTTTGATTGGATATGGATGTTACCTTTTTCCAAATGTATATTTTTGCATGTGAAAAATTCACTTACAAGTTACATGCTTAAATTGTAGCGAACTGTTCAGCCTTCTTGAATAATCGGCCTTTCGACAAGGTTGTGATGCCCTCCTAGTGGGAAGGGATGCATTTTTTATGATGTGTGTGTTTGACTTGCATTTTGTTGCCCTAAGTTGCGGATATCAAGGTGATGCACAATTGTCACGGTGAAACCAACCTTGTTACTCAAGGATATAACCTTTATCAATGCTTTTTTGTCGTGGTTGTGGCTGAAAGGTTAACATCGTTGTGTGAATCACGCTTAAGAGGTGCAATAGATGTTCAGCCTTAGAGACTTGATAACAAGTCTTGTCTGAGGATTTGATGGAAGTCTCCTCTAAGTAGGTTAAACACTTCGCCTGAGAGACTCATAGTCTCGTCAGCCAAACTATGCACAATTCTGCCTGGGGTACTTAGATTTCCAGGATAATCGCCCGAGGGACTTAATGTCTCTTTGGATGAGACAAAACTCAAGGTCACGCCTATGAGGCTTGACGGATGTACAACATGAGAGATTTGTTAACTAGTCTTGCCTGAGGGTTCGATGGAAGTCTCATCCAAGTAGGTCAAACACCTCGTTTGAGAGGCTGATAGTCTTGTTAGCCAGACTATGTTCAATTCTATCTGAAAGACTTAGATTCTTAAGTTAGTTAAAGCCTTGCCTGAGAGACTTAGTGTCTCTTCAGCCAAGGGTAGTTAAATACCTCGTAAGAGGAAGCACCAGTTCTCGGGATACTCCCATTAGCCGTGAGTGAAAAGATATTTTGTCTTTCTATCAAATGCCTCGTACCCGAGGGACTATGTAGTGTTATGTTTGTAAATAACCTAGTCTATGGTGATGTTCTTGAACCATCTTAGAAGAGGTGACAGTAGAAGGTCGCTTGAAGGGAGGTATTGTCTCGTCGTGTAGTCTTCTCTCGCCCTAACGTGGGAAACATGTGTTGGAATAAAATTGGTTTATACTATATTCTTTAAGTTTTGATAATAACAAAGTATTTAAAGAACAATTGGGTAGACTAATGTGTGTTCAAGTGTTTAGGTACAAAGATCAATATATTGATGAAATTCAGTTCTGAAACTGCACTGAACATTTAAAGAGAAACTCTTAAGTGACAGATTCTAAAGATCAGACTTTGAAGAATCAACTTCTGATCAAGTCATCTTCTGATGATCAGAATATGAAGTCTCCAAACTCTGATCAAGTCAGTTCTAAAGATCAAGCCAACCTCTGAAGAGTCATAGTCTGAAGGATTAAAAGCTAAGACTCAGACTTTGAAGGATCAGAACCTAAACCTTTTCAAAGTTCAAGAACCGGGGATTTTCTGATAGGTTGCTATCAGACTCTAAGGTCAATTTGTCCTATTCTAGTCACGTGAATACTTAGCAGAAAATTGCAGAAGTCGGAAGTTTTACAACTGATAATTTCTTTTGTAGTAAAGGAGTTTCAAATGATTTTGCAATGGCATTAACCATATCAAGAAGATTTGAAAAGGATTTGTTGATGCTTCTCTTTAATGACTCTCTTGCGGTTTAAGTTCTCTTTAACGACTCTTTTATGGGGCTCTATAAAATAAGCTGAAGATTTGGAGAAACATAGAACACCGCACCTTGACAAGAAAAAGAGAAGTTACTCTGTTAAAATAAAGAGCACAAGCTAAGTTAGAACTTCTTACCAATTGTACATTCTTAGAAGATCTTAAGTCTTAGAGTTTTTTGTGTTGTAATTCTGTTTACACCTCTGATTGTATATCAAGTGTAATTTATCACTCTATCACTATCATTTATCAGTTAGATAGATTGTTAGAAGTATTTTGCTTGAGTGCTTGAGCAATTGGAAGTCTCTTGTCTGCATGCTTGAGCATTTAGAAGTCCCTTGCATGTGTGCTTGAGCAATCATAAGTATCTTGCTTGCGTGCTTAAGCATTGAAGTCTCTTACTTATGTGTTCAGACATTGAAAGTCGATTGCTTGTGTGCTCGAGCAACTTGTAATCAAATTTGATTATAGTGAAAATCTCTTGGTAATGCAAGGGGTCTGTACTATTTCTAATTTGTAGGAGTAACCAAGACAATTGCTTATGTGTTGTCTTTCTCTATTCTTTATTTCTATTGAATATTATTCGTCTGCTATACATCAGCCTCTAAATCAGATTCTGACATGTGCAATCAGAATCTGATAACAGATCTTAAAGAGAAAAAGAAGAAAAAGTCAACACAATTCAACCCCTTCTTGTGTTTTCTCACCTTTAGTTGGCACTAGAGTACAGTTTGTGCATTAACACTTAATAGTGGTACAAAAAAAATCCTAAGAAAAACATCATGGTTTGATCTGAAGTTATTAATAATGCTGATCCTAATACATCTGAGAAGAACAATTATATTTTCAAACCATCAATATTCAATAGAAATTCTACTGAGTTTGAGTGGTGGACAAGCAAGATGTATACTCACATCATAGGTCTTGATGATGAGTTATGAGATATCCTTGAATATGGAATTGATTTTGCAGTTGATCAAGTAGGTATGGTGGCTGATAGAAAGAGCCTCACACATGCTCAGAAAAATATTTATAGAAAGAATTACAGAGTTAGAGAAATCTTGACAGATGCTCTACCTCACTCTGGGTATCTCAAGATTTTGGACAAATCTAATACAAAAACTATCTTTAAATCTCTTTGTACTTCCTATGAAGAAAATCAACAAGTTAAAGAGGATAACGCAAATATTTTAGTTCAACAATATGAGCTATTTAAAATAAATGAGGATAAAGGCATTGAAACCATGTTCTCAAGGTTTCAAATTCCTGTATTCGTTTTTCAAGTGTTGAACAAAAATTATACAACTACTGATCATGTCAAGAAGATTCTTAGGAGTCTTCCTGCCAAGTATAAATCTAAGGTGTCTGCTATTTAAGAAGTTAGAGACTTAAACAACATAAGTCTAAAAAACTTGATTAGTAATCTTCATCCATGAGATAAAGCTAATTGGAGATGAACCTGTTCAGAAGTCAAAGTCTTTTGCTTTGAAGTTTGTTGATCATAATGCTAAATCTTCACTAATTAGGAGATATGAAGAATCCACTCATAAAGAAGAATCATAAGATGAAGAAATGACATTTATAATAAATAGATTTTAGTATCTAACCAATAATAAGAACAATAGGTTCTCTAGCATAGGTAATGGCTTTAGAGGAACAAGCTCCATAATCAACAAAGATGATCAGAAAGGATGCTTCACTTGTAAGAAGCCTGGTCACTTTTGCTGAATGTCCAGAACTAGAGAAGGACCAACCAAAGAAAGGAAGCTTTCAGAAGAACAACTTCAGAAATAAGGTCAAGAAGAGTATCATAGAAACATGAGATGAACTTGTGTTTCCAGTGATTTCTGGGAAACAACCGCTAGTCTTCCAAACTATCGAATAGTCTTTATTAACGCTACTCAATCTCTTTGGTAACTCACAGGATCGACTAGATTGATCCTAGGACTCCTTGGATATTAAGGTTACTCTCACAATCGAACAATTATTCATGGGTGCTATTATATAGATGTTTGGTTTGTTTCGATCCCTCTCTCTAAGAGTGTTTAAGAATGTGGTCAAAATGTATGTGAAACTAAGTTATACGAATGATTGCTAATTGTAATGCTGATTGAAAAGACATATAAAACTGTATGGAAAATGAAGTAACTGGTTTCGATCCATAAAACATTTAACACAAAAGGTTTCTGGAATGTGGAAGTTTAAAAATGTGAAGAAAGCGTTTAATGCAAGAAATCTAGAAATGACTTTAAGTGAAAGTAAATGTTTGAAGAATAATACTTGAAAGTAAAGACATTGAAAGCGTAAAAGTTCTTTGAAATATAGAGTGCTTCGAAATATAAAGAATGCAGTAAAATGTAAAATTTTAAAGAAAAAGACTTTGAAATGAAAAGACAGTAGATAAATAAACTTGTAAATGTTATTCGACAGAAAGAAAAAGAAGGAAAGTGCTGGAAATAGTAAAAGGGCTTTTATTAAATTAAAAATACATGGTGCTATCATACATACATCTCTCTTGCATTCGTTTCCCTTGCCATGTGGTAGTTTGAATGTTATTGAGTATTTTGTATAACAGATATGACACACTGAAATCCTAACACTAAGACTTCTATTTATACTAATTCGACCCTAACGGTCTCGCTACAAGATCATGCCACGTTTCGAACATGCAAGACAATGCTCCTTTCATCTTTCCACGTGTCCTCAAATGCTCCAACGCATAACTTTCAAACTTTGAAAGTCCCGCTTTCATTT